GTAGATTGAGGTTAGCATGTGGCTAGACCGCGAGATCTGATCGGCTGGAGGATATGGCACCTTTTTGACAGACGGCAAAGTCCAAGGTTGTGCATCGTCGTCCCTGTATACGCCAAGACCGAGGTTGACCTTATCAGAGGTGGGGTCTGCTGCGACGGACTGCATTACAACGAATGCTTCATCGTAAGGAGCCTCGACCAGACTAGAAAAGTGCGACTGAACAGCTAAGGAACCCATGATTGCAGTAAGTTGTGACTTGGTTTGATCAGTTTGTTTACAGGAAATAATTATTGCTGTTCGAAAGGGCGGAATCTTCTCGTTCTTTATGTTTGCCTACAGCACTGAGGTCCGAACGCCGAAAATGCGTGAACAAGGCCTTTTGGGCGAGCAAACAGTTGTCATATTGGGCCCCGACCGCCGAACGTGATGTGACTGCCGGTCCCAGGGATGTGACAGAAACAAACATTGATGACATCTGTTGGTCGAGATCCAGGGCGATTGGGTTCACGATGCAAGGATTGGGCCACACCGCTTGCCCGACTTCCTTTTGCCTAGCAAGGGGGGGAGTTGCTTTTCCCAAGGGTGCGCTTCACTTTGCGGACTCGCGGAAGTAGGCACATCTTGCCCGATCCATGGTCATGGGATTGTGCCAAAAAGCAAACACCTTTTATATTGACACTAACTCACTCTGGTAATGACAGCCGTCGGTAAACTTACTCTAGACACGAATTTTTGCGAGACAGTTGAGATCCTTTCCCAGGAACCTGGTTCGAAAGGTGTTCGAATCAGGAGATTGTCCCGGAGTTGTCGGCGCAGTTGAAAACCTTCGAAATCAAGCCCGATGCATACGCGTCCTTGATGGACACGGCTACACTATATCTGTGGCCTACTTAGTTTTTGTTCTTCAGGAAAGGAATATGATATACTTACGTTCCGGCGACCACCATGAACAGGCCCACAAGGACGACGAAAACGTGAAACCCGTACATTGCTTTCTTTGATGCACCTCCCTTTCTGTACGACGAAAAGTCCTGCATCCACAACAAAGCCGGGAAGATGAGACTGAAGGTAGCAAAGCAGAGAGCTCCCGCGAGTCCGAGGAGATAGTTGAGAATTGGGACGGCTTCTGCGACGATGAACGCCAGGATTCCGAGCGTCATGTTGCTGCCAATCCAGGTTGTCCAGTGGATGACGGTGTTTGCCTGGAGATGCTGCGAATCTCTCAGGATGCGCACAAAGAGGTATTTCGCCGCCACATGTTGGTAAATACCCACGCCGATAATCAGACCAGGAAGCGCAACACCATACGAGATTTTCTTGAACAAAGGGCCAGCGCTTCCAAAAGCGGGAGTTGCAAGCCAAACACCACACCACCGGTAAATAACCAGTGAGAATGAGAGATACATCGCCAAAACGAGAACACCAGTCACCAAAGCAGCCTTTCTATACTGATCCGGACGACGCATCTCCGTTATGATTGGGAGATACATGGAAGAGCTACTGTTGCTGATGAAGATGTTTGCGCTTGCGGTGATACCAACAACAAACGTTGGGTGGGCAATCGCGGTCCAGCCGAGGTCGAAATCGCCGGGAGGAGCGACGGCAGGTCGATCTTGTTGTGTAACAGCAACAACGAAGATGAACACGGCGATGAAGAAGGTGGCGAATCCGAACCAGGTGAGCCAGCCCAGCCGGCTGAATGTGCGCACTGCGGAGAACATGGTGATGAGGATTGCGCCCACCAAGGTGAAGATGACGGTGCATGCTCCGTGATTGGACAGGGCATTGAACGCTGTCGAAATCGAGACAATACCCGCTGCAGAAATAAGGACTTGGGCAACGAGAATTTGCAATCCGACAAGTTCCTTGCCGACGCGGCCCCAGAGGCGACCGCACATATCAGCCAAAGCTATGTGTAATCGTCAGTAACTGCCTCCTTGCTAGCGTGAAGGCAACAATTGACATACTATGACAATCGGGATGGCGGTTGCGGAATTCACCCAGGATAACGGCGGTATCTAGTTATGTCGTTAGCATTGTTGTCGCTGACTTCAAATCTGACGAGACCAACAAGTGTTGAGGACATGCCATCCGACGAGAGAAAGAGCACCGCCGACAGCACCAAGAGTGGCGAATGCTCCGGGTACGCTCAAAATGCTCATGGCGAATTGGATCTTGAGGAACATGATCGTGGCGCTCTGGCAGCTGACCGTGCGGAACTGGACGCCATCTTCAGTATCCTTGAAGACCTCGTGCGTTGTCAAGGCTTGTTCCTTGAGCGAGGATATTTCGTTGTGGACCGATGGCGGCCTGATCTTGTCGTCGTTCAACCCGGAAGGCATGACACCAGTATCGACTTCGTGGGTAGTCATTCTGGCGGTCTTATATTGGTGATGCGATGGAAACGCTGCCGGGGCTTCATGTGCGGAGGGTCGGCTTCGCGGGTCCTATTGAATGCTCCATCGCCGGCACATCGGAGGACTACCTTATCTGAATTTATCAACTCTTCCCCATATCTTTATCATGATGCTAGCCCTTGAACAGTTAAGTGTAGCACCCGTTTGATGCGCACCCTGGCCGAGATAAGGGTAGCTTCGCGGAGATAATCCATGAAGATGCAGACAGTGTGGTCGCAAGTCGGGCACCGTCTTACATACTGACTCAATTCCGACACCCATCACCACATAACAACATGCTACGCTGCGGTTGTGGACCATATCCGGCTGCCAATAAAACAGAATATCACGACGATTGCTCGCAATTCAGAGGAGAATGGCAATTCTTATCAGGCAGCTGTCTCTCGTTGCGTGCCTAACTAGCTCAGTATTCTTCCTCTTGAAGTAACGTACATGATAAGCGAGTGGGCCAGACAAGCGAGTGGGCCACCCAACCGCCATCGTGCCACCTACATCATCACAATACGCATTTCTCCATCGAAAACAATGACAGTACATAACAAAGATACCCAATTAAACTTAGCGGTTCAGGCTACCTAGAAAGACCGAAATCTCAGTATTCGGGCCGCGGCAAAGATCTATAATATTAGTCGCGTTACCTTAGGCCGCAGATTAGAGGGAACGTTATCACGACGTGATAGCACACCTAACTCACGGAATTTGACGCTGCTAGAAGAGAAGAAGCTGATTGATTATATCCTCGACCTGGACGCCAGATGTTTTCCTCCCCGTCTTCGCGGTGTTGAAGAAATGGCGAATCGATTGCTCGCTAATCGTGACGCGCCCCATGTTGGGAAGCGATGGGCTTCGAACTTCGTAAAGCGACAACCAGAGTTGCGAATGCGTCGTTTTCGCAAGTACGACTACAAGAGGGCCCAATGCGAAGATCCGGGCGCGATTAACGCGTGGTTCTTGCTTGTGGCGAACACAATCGCGAAGTACGGCATCGTAGACTTAGACATCTGCAACTTTAACGAGACTAGCTTTATGATGGGCCAGATCTCAACCGGCATGGTCGTGACCAGTGCCGAAAGGCGTTCAAACACGAAAATGATGTAGCCTGGCAATCGTGAATGGGTTACGGTTATTCAGGCCATCAGCCCGTCGGGCTATAGCGTTCCGCCGTATATCATCGTTGCGGGCCAATATTACCTCTCTACCTGGTATACGGAATCCGGTCTCCTACACGACTAGGTCATCGCAACGTCTGAAAATAGATGGAAAATAAATAAAAGAGGTCTAGACTAGGCTCGGCGCTTCGAACGGCATATAATACCGCGTACAAAGGGTTAATACCGCCTCCTCGTCGTCGACGGATACTGTTGGAATAGGCCTACATTAGGCAGCAGGAGGTTGCTGCCGCGGTCCGTTCCAGCCACGGTGGTCCGTGTGGCTCAGCCACACGAGGGTGGTGTACCCCAGACTTCCTGCCGCCGCTGGCACCTGGTTAGACTTCCACTCAAGAAGAACAACAAGAACAAGCAATATCACCACTACAGTCGGTGATCGTTGCTACCCACGATACTCGAGTATTTTCCTTTTCCACCTGTGAATCCAACAGATAGTGATCAGAATATTTTCAACATCATGGGTACTGTCTGTCAACTAGGTGAAGTTTACTAAATACAACTTCCTCATTCATCATTACCCAAAGGAAGCAAAAATCAGGATGCGACAGACACTGTTCACAGAGGCGTTGCCGCATCCGCTGACAGATGAGAATGGATGGCAAAAATAGAACATGCGGCCAGTGTGGATTGAACACACGACCTTCAGATTGATTGAATGAAGTTTCTCGGGCTTGAAGTCCGCTTCAGTCTGACGCTCTCCCAACTGAGCTATGTCCGCCGCTGTTGTTCATGAATGGTAGTGAGCTCTACAGCGAGATGGATCGTTGCCCACTGTTTGGGTGGTTGAGAAGCAGTCTTAGTTTGGTCGGTGACGATCACGAACAGTGGGTTAGATCAGTTCCAGACGCAGGCTACGCCTTGTAGCAGTACAGATAACTCGGAATGGTATAGAAGTGCATAGGGCGCGATCTGTCTAGCTTGGTGGGCGCAAAAGACGCAAGCGCAAAGGGGACTTTGATTTGGTAGGTTTAGGTAACAGTCTGAGGAAGTCTTATAGGCAGTCGCGCCTAGTGTAGTAACCTGAGTTGCCAATGGACTTCAAGGCGTGCAGATGAAAAAGCCCAAGTGATCAATACTCGAATCTCTCCGAGGACGTTCCGGTCGGTGTGCGTCATTCTATCATAGGGGTCATGCAATACTCCGGCTTTCTGCATGTGCAATTCCCATGTGAAGTAGGTGATGTCACAATGTGATCCAATTCCAAACTCCATTATCATTCATAAGCTTATAATGATACTAGCAGACTACTACTTACGTGCAATCTCGAAGTTGGTCATTGCGATTCCGAAATTCTCACAAAATATTGCTTGGATGACATCAAACCGGGGAGAGTTTAATCGGAGCAACAGAGAGCTCGTCGCAAGATCCACATGGCGCTTGACACTGCACTGCAACACAAGCTTCCTTCTCGAAGTCAAGCCTGAAATGCCATGGGGCAACCCCTAGCTTGACTAATTCTCTCTCTCGTGCGCTCCATGTACTCTTTGCCGTTGCATCTCTGGGCGTCAGGGCCAACTTCTGGAATGGTGTATCCGTCCGGATGGTACTTAGACCCCTCATCTCCAGGTAAGTGTCCACCAATTAGTCTAGTGTAGAGAGCAGAAGGACTCCATCGCCACCAGAAGCCCGGCTTGACGTAGTAGGGGTGCGCGAGGTAGTTTGTCAAGTACATTCGGCCTGTCTTCTTGTCCACGTCTTGGATCATGGGGTTGGTCCACCATTTTGGTCGTGGTAAACAGAAGTACTTGAGAACGTTACGTCTGAAAGCGACTAGGTTTTCAAAGATGAAGAAATCCAACCTGCTTGGATTTTCGTATCTAAGGCCATGATGGATCAGCAATTCAGTCCACCCAAGGTATTAGTCGGTCTCGTGACTCACCCCATGGCTTGTCGGAGTACAGGTTCCATCAGGCAACGCAACTGCCTGAATACGAAGTTGTGCGTGAACTTAGGGAAGTCCATTAAGAGTAGAGTAATATTCGCATGTGCCAGCTTTTCGTTCGAGACAGCGTGGACCATGTGGTGCTCCTGGTACTTCAAGCACCACTTCTGAAGCGCCTCCAGCCAGGCCAAGGCATCATCCTTTTGGCTCATGTGGGGAGCCAAGCACTCATAGGAGATGCCCATCTCTTTGCCCAGATCTTTCCAAAAGATAGCCAAGGCATTCTTCTCAAACATGGTTAGGTCCCTCCATTCGTATAGTGCGGTCCAGCGCATAGGTTCGAGGAGGAAGAGGCTGAGAGTGTAGAGCATGTCATCGTTGGATATCTTCCCAGCCTCTCGCCAGCGACTATGAAGGAAGTTGATGCGAGAGATGGCATCTATGTTGCGACGGGAGTCTGGTGTGTTGTAGATAATCTCCGACATTAAAACTACGGTGTCTGTCCGTCGTTTCGATGCTGTGCGATCTCCTGAAAGCTGGCTGGTAGCTACCAAAAGTTTGGAGATCGTTGGGATTCCATATGTCTGCGGATAGTTTAGCTTCTTAGCTTCATAGCCTATAGGTACTCTGGAATCGTTTCTCGCTTCAGACTAACCTTGAAGAGTGCGAAAGACCCGGATGTGGAGAATGTTATGGGAAATTCCCTTTCCGATAGCTCACGCAATATGGAGGCTGCGTCTGATAATGGCATTGAAGCCATTTCTTCTCGTGTTTTGTACTGGGGAAATCTCCGCTGGAAGCCATCACGACGGCGATATCGTAAGGCCCGAACTACCAGAACGTAAAAGGTGATTGCCGCAATCAGTGGTAAAAAGTACATGGTGGAGGTTGTTCTAACTCGCAGATGAAGAATAAGAAGGATGGGAAAATGGATGTCTGGTAAGCGGAGGCAACGGACCGAATGGCCTTCGTTTTATTGTTCTCTAAGGATTATGCAGTGCGACTTTGGCAAGTAGTTTCCACATTTCCCCAGACGATGCTGCTCATTTAGCCCATCTTCTCGTTTCTTTGACCCCTGGCCCTCGGATGACGCCCCAAAGACGCCTTCTTTTGACATCAACCATCCGAGTCGACTTACACGTGGGATGCGGGGGTGTCTCAGAAGCACCAATCATCAAATTGGATAAAATTCATGCAGTAGTGCAGATCTGCCGGGATGGGGGCGTTCTGTAGTGCAATTGGCGCAAGCCATGAGAATTAGAATATCAGTTAATGGGGCTAAATCTGATCAAAACCCGGAACCCGTCGGGCTTCCGGGCGCGACTATCAGACGAGTTTGGGTCTGAATCAAGTTAGCTGGTCAGTTGGAGTCATACAATTCGACTCAGACCTGATTGGATTGGTAAGCCTTGTACTCCAGGTCGTCGGAAAGGGCAATTCCCAAGCAATCGGGTCACACACACGGACCAGACGCCATTCCCTCTAGCACTTGGACCGTCTCCGGATGATGGCTGATAGCCTCCCCGGAAAACAAGTTTCCTCAATTAGCCCAGTGAACACGGCCAAAAGAATTGCAGATGACGGTGTTCTGATTCGCCGACCAAAGATGAAGGTCGCGGCTTGACTGGGTGCTTCGTTCCAGTTTGATTCAACAATGGAAGCTTCGGCAGGCTTGGTCACGCGAAAGGACTGCATCTGGGAGGCATCCGTATCCGCTGGTCGCGTAGAAGGTTTCAATTAAGCTCATGGGGCAAAATGATGAAACTGGAGCTAAGTTGGCAGATCTTCGATCTCGGCGATGACCCACCCGTGCCACCCACATTTAAGCCGTTCATGAGACCGGTAATTCGACTATAGATATAATCGGTGAATTCCCACATCTACCTTCTTGACTCGGAAGTGTCTATGAGTCCGGGGTAGTATCTGTGCCACTGTAGCAAATGCCCCAATGTTTCAATCTTGTGACTGGTAGACACTGGAGATAGAACCTGTTGGGCAGCGATTATCAGGTAGGGGGTCAATGGAATGTATTGATGAGTATGAAGAACGAGTAGCTATGGGAATATCCCGACTATCTATATAGTGAGTAGAAGACCCTTTATACTAGCATATCCTTGGCAAACTTAGTCATGCTTATGTAAGACCATATTGTCTTATAGGCATAGTATGACAATCGTTGTAACGAGTGTACTAGGATAGGCCTGATACTGTCGTGGATTATCGTGATCATTTTTCTTGTCTATGTTGTGTTCTCTCCTTTCCAGATGCAGCCAGGAGTATGTATCCCTTATCTGAGGCACCTGGATTCCTGCATTTTCATTGGTTGGTCTCACCCAGATTATTATGGGTCCAGATTGCTCGTTCTGGTCCGAGCATACCCGCCCAATTCCACTTCCGCACTTCAACAGATACACCCCCCTAGGTTCAAGTCTTTGCTTAAAGCTATTCACACTTCTTCCTGGCCCAGCAGGTGTATGATATTAACAAGACGAAGTTAACGAACGAATTATCGGTGTTTTTATATGTTCAGTGGTTTAGTTAGATTATTAGCAATAGTGCTATTAGTATCTATCTACTTGAAAGTGATGTTTCTTTCCGATAGACTTAGCGAGCCTATAAATTGTATATATCGATATATTTTAGCCTAGATGACGTACTTGAAAAGCGAGCTGCCCAGACAAGCGAGCTGTTTACCTAGCTATAATCATATTATAAATCTAACTAAGGAGCAATAGTTACTAAAAACATAAAATTAATTAAAACTATCCTAAATCCTATTCCTAAGATATTTCTTTATTAAACTAATATGTTTGCGCATTATAACCAGTGTTTCTGTAGACGCCACATCGCCGTTAACCTGTTTCTATCCTCGGCCGACGACCACTACTCTGGCGTATTTCCTCCTTAATCTGGGCCGTAGCCTCTCTCTACGACTAAATATCCTCTACCTCAGCTATAGTAAGATGTTACGACCCAACATGCATGACCAAGAACAGGGCCTGCCCCGCAGGCTCGCGGCGGTTATAATACACCACATATGCAGGAGATAAGGGACACTAGGCACCCTCTCACGGAACGGAAGAACTATGGTACAAGTCACGTGATGATAAGATAAGATATGAGCGACCATGGTGGGGCCATGAGCGCTCATACCTGTCACAGACCCGCTGTCCTAGACCCCAACCTTGAGGTTGGTGTTGAGTAACCCGGTGGCCGGGTTACGTAAGCCTGAGGCTGGATAAAACTCTGCATCCTGTATTCTGTCGCGCATGTCCAGAAACGTAGCTCCTTGAGCTACGTCTTGTCAACAGAGCCTGTACCTGCTTAGGATAGAGCCTGCCCGTAGCAATAGATTGTCTGATCCGCCTGCCCAGCATCCACCTGCCAAACAACCTGCCTGCTACCGTGACAATACCAAGTAATGAGCGCTCATGCCGAACAATGAGCGCTCACCCGATCAGAGGAACTGATCATTGACAAGGGATATGTTCAGGACCAGGACTTGTATATAGGATGGCCTCGAGCCGGACTCTAGGACAGACTTTCCATAGCTCTTCAGCAATTAACTTCGTATCAGGATTAACATCCGCTTTCAGCTACTACCTTGACAAGACTACGATTGATCACCGAAGCCTTACCTACCCTTACGATTGACAGACATAGTTTCTGTCACGTAACAGGGATAGTAACCGCATCTCACGAAGCGCCCGTCACGTGCTGTATCACGTGTATATCACATACATCCTGTATATAGACCTTTCTCTTTTGTCTATTTCCACTTTGATAGGTTAAGCCACTTTACCACACTCCGTATGCCCATTGCTGTGTGCCATAACTCGTGACAGTTTCCTTGAAACTATTCCACGACTACGATTACTGTTACCAGTTCCGCAGCCTCAACTTCTGCAAACTACCCCTACGACTAGCTGGCCGTAACATACTTATTGCAGGAGACCTTAATGCCCGCCACTGATCCTGGGAGCCCGGGTCTCCTAGCCGGAATCGGGGAAACGATATTATAGAGTAGGCTGAAGGCTACGATCTTTCGTTTATTAGGGAGTGTAAATTCACGGGGTCGTATACGACAAATAGTGGTAGCAATTATCACTCGTCTGTTGGTGATCCTATTCTTGTTCTTCTTGTTTTTCTATCTTCCATTGTAGGCAGGAGTCGGTCGAAGTAGGTAGTGACGGCCTGGGTGGTTGTCCCACCTTTATCCGGCGGTGATGACTAAGCCAGGTGTCCCACTTCGCCCAGGGCAGGTGCCAGCCAGCCCATGGTACCTGCCTATTACTCCTTATCAGCCTTTGCTGTTCCAACAGGAACGTTAGGTGAAGACGGTAGCCTGTAATATAGTTTAGATTAGTATAGACCATGTCGGCATTGCGCCCGGCACGTCCTTTTGTTACCAGACGTTAAATACATCATCATCATCATCATCATGTTCCAACAGGGAGGTTAGGGCTCCTACTTATACTTATAGGCATACCCTAGACCTAACCTTCTCAAATATCCCCTTTATGTTACGCCCGCCGCAACTTGTCACTCTGGGCGCGTAGCTATATAATGCAGAACAAGGGACAATGATGCCGGAGTCATCATTATCGAAGCTTTTGCTTTGTGCCACAGTTGGTTGCCTTGTCCTGCTCATAACATTTATATACTAGATTCCCTTATTAAGGTCGGAGGTCTAGATCCTCCGGGAGGAAAATAACCTACTTAGCCGACGTAGGAGGGCTAAGAAAATACGTCTTAGATAAGGAGGAAGTCTTATGTTACGGCCAGCTAGTCGTAGGGGTAGTTTGCAGAAGTTGAGGCTGCGGAACTGGTAACAGTAATCGTAGTCGTGGAATAGTTTCAAGGAAACTATGTCTGTCAATCGTAAGGGTAGGTAAGACTTCGGTGATCAATCGTAGTCTTGTCAAGGTAGTAGCTGAAAGCGGATGTTAATCCTGATACGAAGTTAATTGCTGAAGAGCTATGGAAAGTCTGTCCTAGAGTCCAGCTCAAGTCCATCCTTATATACAAGTCCTGATCCTGAACATGTCCCTTCTCCCTTGGGTCGTCTTGGGTCATTCTGATCCAGAATGATCGTTTAGCCCCCAAGTCGTGTTGGATCATATTGATCCCAAATGATCCTTATCTTATCATCACGTGACTTGTACCATAGTTCTTCCGTTCCGTGAGAGGGTGCCTTGTGTCCCCTTGTCCTGTGCATGTATGGCGTATCGTAACCGTCGTAAGCCTGCGGGGCAGGCCCTGTTCTTGGTCGTGCATGTTGGGTCGTAACAAAGTACTCTCTTTGGTGGTTGATAGCCTAAGAGGAGACTGGTTGTCTGGTTAATAGGCTCGCCTGGCGGCCTATAGGTAGCTTACTCTATAAGCTATTTTATTACGGTCACTTTTTATCTATTATACTTATAAGTCGAAGCGGTAATACTAATTAAATAAAAAGCTCTATAAATCCCTTACCAACTTACCCGTATATAATAAGCTAGGGAGGGATAGAGGCCTAAATACCGAAGAGCCTCTTATAACCGCCGCTTCTATTAATAAAGAGCTTATAGAAGGTAGCTTGGTGTTACGCCCGCCGCAACTTGTCACTGTGGGCGCGTAGCTATATAATGCAGAACAAGGGACAATGATGCCGGAGTCATCATTATCGAAGCTTTTGCTTTGTGCCACAGTTGGTTGCCTTGACCTGCTCGTAACACTTAACTAAGCTTAATATAACTCCGGGAGCGGGCGCGGCTAAAACCGCTTATTTTAATCCGGGAGCCGGACTAGCTAAAGCGCTTTAAAAGCGTTCTAGATCGGCGCGCCTTTTATATAAGCGTTCTTTATACGTAATCGAGAAGTCGCTGCTTGCCCCTCCTGGTTTGGCGGCACGTTCCAATCGGGCATGGCGCCCACGCCGCTTTGCACGTGCACCCCTGCCCGTGCCAATTGACGCCGCCCTTAAATACGGCGTCGCCCTCCTCTCGACGTCAACCTTTTGTACCATCTACCTTTCCCTCCCAATAGTTTCACGAAAAATTCATCGCTCGGGTTTCCTGCTTCTCCTTAGTCGTACCCTTGCCCGAGGGCAGTGTGACTCTGTCTCTTACGTTGCTACCTTGCCCAGTCACGCCGTTATTTCGCCTCCAGCTCTCTCCCCGTGTCGAGGCGTTCCATACGACCTAGGCGCCTTCCTCTCCCGCTCCGTCTGCTCTGGGTATGACCCCAAATCGCACCTCGATACTATGAACCTATTCTGACTCGAGAGTAGGAGGTCTGGACGGTTGTGAACCGGAGATGGGGGCCGGGCTGAGTGTTTTACCACGAGAGGCAGAGTCAAGAGTCCCATCATGCGCTGATGTAACTCACTTTCTGAGCTGGGTGACTTTGTGATGGGTTCCTGAGTCTTGCATATCTCAGTGCCTCGGACGTATCTCGCTCAATGGCCTAGGTTCGCTGCCAGTCACAACCTACCCCCTGTTCACCAGGCGCCAACTTGGTGACGCAAGGGGGCTAGTCAGGCAGCTTTGCCTTGAATTCGGCGCCTGGACCGACCTCAATCATTTCGCTGTTTGGCTCCTTAGTCACCTTCGGACCGACTCTCAAGATGCGCGCGCTGAATGCCTATTGCGGCACGAGCCTCTTGATATGGATGCATCATGACGGTTGCTGCATGGCAGGCTTCATGCGTGTCTGCCTTGCACTTCAGCCTAGCCAGCATCCCTCCTGCCCAGCACATGATACCTCGGGCAAACGGAATGGCAGCCCAGACGGTGATATGACCTTTTTGGTCCTCAAGATGGCATATCATGCCTTATCAGGCCATCGGCTACTCCGAGAGCTATTGAGAGATGCGTACGGGACTTTGGGAGGCCGGTCTCAGGTTAAGTAGCATCCATAAGGGCGTATCCTTCTGGCGACTGCTGATTGGCAACAATACGACATTGTCTACGAACAGTGGGGGACGAATGTGCCTGGACAGTCCAGGCATCGTATGCGCAGATATTGGCGTTCAGAGGGGACCCCTTGGCATGCTCGCTGTTCTACTTTTCAGACAACACGGAAGCGTTAGCGCTTGCGCTCGTCACTGAACATCGACTACTTAAATGAGAGCGTCTGGCTGATAGATTTGGACACTCATCTTCTCAAACATCAGACCTTTGGAACTCTCCCAACGTTCAACCCAAAATGCCCATCAATCTTGACAACATTTCATTCTACTCGGCTCCAGCGCAAGCTGTGCGTCCACCGGCAGCCAAAAGCACAATAATACCTCCTTCAGACGACACTACGACCACACCCGATCAGAACACGAGTCATAGAGACAAGAACCCAATCGTGTCCTCCCAATCCCTTCCAGAGGCAAATGTTGAGGGCAAAGTCATTTCAAAAGATAGGCCGTATCTGCGGATTGAACGCTGCCCGGCAACAGGCGATATGGGCCACAGCCCAGCCAAGAAGCCTGTGGCAGTGGACTTCAATACGCGCGAGAACTCGCCTGAGACGGCGGCTTGGTCTGCCAACTGTCTACCAGTCTCGTTCCCTTTGTTGCCATCCGGGGCATTCGCTGCGGCAATGCTTCCCTCGCACCCAGACCCAGGTCCCCAAGCTGCCAACAACACAGCCGACCCGGCTCTCCTTCTAAAGTCGACTGAGAATGCATCGACTGTCAGCTTAGAGAGACCTGTCAAAGAAAGCACTCCGCCATACACCGAGCAGCTGCCCCAAGTGAGTCAAGCAGCCCATGATGAATTTACGACCTGGCTGCAACATCAACAAGTCGTGCCATCCAGCAGCGCGGAAGTTGGAGAGACCCCAGAATCCCCGAGAGGACCTGCCGAAAAGTCTGGCACGATGCAAAGCCCAGTGTTAGCCGAAAGTGGGCTGCCGTACTCTAGTTTGGCATCCCTAGGCCAAGACACGCCATGTCACGCCGAAGATTACACACGCCAACTCCTCTCCAGATAAGAGACTCTCAATCCGTGGCCAAACGCTGGTAACAACGAAAGTAGCCCTAGCTCAACCGATCGAAGCGAGCCACTGATCACAGAAACGGCGTTTCATTCCAGCATTTATTCACCTTCACCGGACGAAATACACATGGATGCTGAGACGACAGCATCAGATGCTCCTCCTATCCCATCGGGTGCGGATGGACCCCATTTTCGCCAAGGGCGGGGTAACCCAATGAGATTCATTGCCTGGAAATATCTAGAAATATTTGCCCAATCAGATGCTTATATATGGGCGTTTTTGGAGTAAAAGTGGGTAATTCTGGTCTTGGCGAAAATGGGGTCCATCCGCACCCGATGGGATACACTTATCTCGAGTCCATCGCCGAGCTCGCAAATCACGACTACCAGCGGGCGCTTATGCTGAAGTCGATTCGGACCCGGAATCTAGCGATGAGGATGGCGCTCGTGGAACCAATGATGACTGCATCGGAGATCAAGCCAACCCGGACAGAATCCAGCGAGGGCCCCAGGGCTGTGAGGACAATTCTGACCAACGCGGTCAGCCAAAACCCAAACGTCGTAAAAGAAACTTCCAGGAGACTGTTGGCACCAGCAGGGCTCTGAGACCACGGGACACGTCATCGCAATTAGCAGTAGAGCTAAGACGAAGGTCAGAGCGGGCTCCAAATCGACCAAGGACAAGTGGAATTCTGACCCCGCAGGTCTCTCCTGCTTCTACCGAGAAAGAAATAGACCCCAGATCCTTCTTTGCGCAATATGATGAGTGGCCTCTCAAGAATGCAGTCCTGAAGCGCATCACAGATGGAATTGTAACGACATTTCAACTGCAATGGGAGCAGCCGTCCACAGAACGACAACAGACGCATTGCTATCCCTCAGTTAGTCGGCCTTCAGGTTCTTCGCTAAAGGGACGAAAGTCTGCGAGGCGATCTGCCAAGTCCAGATGCCCGTTTTCAGAACAGGAGAATGAACTCTTGATTCAACTGAAAGGACAGGGCCTTTCATGGAGGGAGATCCACAACAGTTTCTCGAGTTCCTTTCCGGGCCGGTCTCTCGGGACGTTGCAAGTCCACTTCTCTACTAAGCTGAAGATGACGAGATAAAAGGGCTTGGTAAGGTGCGACATATGCGTGTAGATAGGTCGATGGATTGAGAGAACGGAAATGGACTTGGACATGTAAGGAGAGATCTATTGTAGGTCTTTAAATGTGTCAGATAGCCTTACACTTCCCAATTATCACCCTGGAAATTTTCGCGGTGTCAAGGAAGGAAGCTGGTTCTTTGGTCTGTCCTATTAAAAACGCTGCCCTACATCCTGAATGACCAATATCTTTTTGACTGATGGTAGGATGACACAAAGTTGCTAACGTGTATTGTCGGCAGCTGGAATAATCCTCCCACTCACCAATTGCAAGTTGCGTTTCCTTCTAGAAGCGAATATCCTCCTGGATTTTGACCCAACCAGCGAAACTCTCCGGAATCTCACTCTAGGACATGGCAACTCCGATCCTTTCTAGAGACACTACCTCGGACGTAACATTTCGGCTGACCTTTGGGGCGTCCTCCGGGGGCAGAAGCTACAACAGGCGCTCATGAAGCAATCTTGCAGCATAGGTCACTCCATCTCCGAGCGTCGCCCTATCGGCCTCACATTAGAGCAGTCTACATCGGTCGCCACGCATCCGACTATCAGGGAGCTGACAAAACCTCTTCGAGAACTGCCGCAAGGCTCCGGAGAGAACTCAAACAGAGAATCAGAGACGAGTGGACTGACAAGCAAGCCACAGACGACATCGAGCGTCAGATACATGGCATCGGATTTGCCAACCCTGCGAACAGACGACACCTGTCGACCTCAGGGCCCAGCACCAAGGCACCTGATGAAGAAACTCACTGCCCCGATCGTGGCCACGCTCGAAGGTCAATATCGAAGGAGGGATGAAGCCATCGAGGCTGTTTCCACATATTGTCTTGTTCAGGAAGGATGCACTGTGCCCCGGTCTCGCCCTCGGTCGACACCAGAGGCCGCCATTTGTTGCTCTACTTCTGATCCGCCTGAGGGCGGCCAGTTGGACCTCGTCACACGATCTGTTCCCATCACTAACGATAAGGAGCGGCCCAAGAGATGCTTTATCTGTATTGGACAGGCCTCGGATTTAATTCCGGACGACAAGGGTCGATTGGACGAACTCACCCATGAGTTCTGCTCTCGGCGGGCTCCAGTCATGTTTTCGGCTTCGTTGCAGCTTTTCAAGAGATCCGCGTCGTTGAAAAGGTGGGCTATCGGCGATAGGGGCGATCCGTAGGGCATGCCGGTGTTGATTCTGGATGTTTCGGATCGGAATCTGTCTAAGTTGATCTCAATATCCAAGAGAACTGGCAATTCAATGCACCGCCACTTCGTCAGTACGTCCCTTCCCCGGTTTGTACAGGAGTCAGCTGTGCGAAGGACTATCCCATCGAGTGCTGCAAGGCGACAGTACATTGGCTCCACATAACGGGCCCCCTTTTACCCCGCACCGCATCTGGTACATCCACTGCTTGAGTTGCCCCTATGATTTCCACTCCGGTACATCTACCAAATCCATCATTACCAATACTCAATTAATGGATTCTGACGATTCTGACGGATCTGGCCGTTCCACGGGCTCGGCGAAGTCGTATATCTTTGCCCTGCTGCCCGAGGACCTCGCCGCCGCCTGCACTGCCGACTGTACGCCGGAGCAATGTGATAATGCCACTGTTCGGCCCCGCGAGCCTCCGGAGGTTGAGCCCGGTATCCCTGGGCAGTTCGTGCCCTTCGAGGTGCCGCAGCGGCGGAAGTACACGAGGATGGGCTGCCTCGAGTGCGATGTAGCTCTCTGTAACTCAGAAGATTGCTGGTACCGATTTCATACGCAGAATCTCTAGTAATTGGAAGTATCTATTATCAATTACGTTGGTTGGTTGGAAAAAGGGGCCCGAAGTGGCCCGATTGGCTGCTCCCCCGCATCTCAATGTACTGTCGCCTTGCAGCACTCGATGGGATAACCGCTGCGAGCCTGCGGGGCAGGCCCTGTTCTTGGTCATGCATGTTGGGTCGTAACAGTATCACGCCACAAATAATCATGTCGTCACAAAGCAAAGAGGCCCAATTGAACTTAGCAGTCAAGGCTATCCAAAAAAAACCCTAAACTCAGCATTCGAGCCGCAGCAAGAATCCATTCAGTCCCCCATAGGACCCTAGTGTTACGGCCAGCTAGTCGTAGGGGTAGTTTGCAGAAGTTGAGGCTGCGGAACTGGTAACAGTAATCGTAGTCGGGGATAGCTTCAGGGAAACTATGTCTGTCAATCGTAAGGGTAGGTAAGGCTTCGGTGATCAATCGTAGTCTTGTCAAGGTAGTAGCTGAAAGCGGATGTTAATCCTGATACGTGTCACAGACCCGCTGTCCTAGACCCCAACCTTGAGGTTGGTGTTGAGTAATCCGGTGGCCGGGTTACGTAAGCCTGAGGCTGGATAAAACTCTGCATCCTGTATTCTGTCGCGCATGTCCAGAAACGTAGCTCCTTGAGCTACGTCTTGTCAACAGAGCCTGTACCTGCTTAGGATAGAGCCTGCCCGTAGCAATAGATTGTCTGATCCGCCTGCCCAGCATCCACCTGCCAAACAACCTGCCTGCTACCGTGACAATACGAAGTTAATTGCTGAAGAAGCTATGGAAAGTCTGTCCTAGAGCCCAGCTCGAGTCCATCCTTATATACAAGTCCGATCCTAACTGAACAGTGCTGAACATTCCACTTTGTCTGGATATGTTGGATATGCCGAATATCCAACATATCCTTATCCCTTATCATATCCCTTATCATCACGTGACTTGTACCATAGTTCTTCCGTTCCTGGGGTTTCCCCAATGTTCCGTCCCGTCCTGCATATATGATGCGCCGTAGCCGCTAGGCGTCAGCGGGGCACGCCCTGGTCTTCATGTTGGGTCGTAACACTTAGTTAGTTAGTTAGTTACCTTAAATTAGTAAGGGTATACGGGCTTTAAAAAGATTAGTTCCGGTTTAGTAATTAGCTCTTTACTTATTAATTTAGGTAACTAGGACTTACTAGTAGAATCCGGTCCGTTCTATAATATTGTTACGACCCAACATGCATGACCAAGAACAAGGTCTGCCCCGCAGGCTCTGCCCCGCAGGTTCGCGGTGGCTACAGCGCACCATGTATGCAGAGGACAAGGAACACTAGGCACCCTCTCACGGAACGGAAGAACTATGGACAAGTCACGTGATGATAAGAGATAAGAGATAAGGATAAGGATATGTTGGATATGAGTTATCCAAGCGATCCTTGGATAACCAGGATATGAGCTATCCAACATATCCAAACAAGGACACTGTCCAGCACAAAGGACATGTTCAGAATCAGGACTTGTATATAAGGATGGACCTGAGCCGGACTCTAGGACAGACTTCCCATAGCTTCTTCAGCAATTAACTTCGTATCAGGATTAACATCCACTTTCAGCTACTACCTTGACAAGACTACGATTGATCACCGAAGCCTTACCTACCCTTACGATTGACAGACATAGCTTCCCTGAAGCTATCCCCGACTACGATTACTGTTACCAGTTCCGCAGCCTCAACTTCTGCAAACTAACCCTACGACTAGCTGGCCGTAACAAATATATATATTTTATTTTCTTCGATAATAGAGATGTTACAACCCAACATGCATAACAAAGCCAGGGGGCCCGCCCCACAGGCCTGCGGCGGCTATCTTCCTGATATACGCAGAGAATCCGGTGATGATGATGATGATGATGATGATGTATTTAACGTCTGGTAACAAAAGGACGTGCCGGGCGCTATGCCGACATGGTCTATGCTAATCTAAACTATGTTACAGGCTACCGTCTTCACCTAACGTTCCTGTTCAATGACTCGGGCAAATTTCGGAAAAGAAATTAGTCTCCTCTATCCATTCGTATAGAAGAGAGGCTCCCTTAGCAGAACCTAACAAGAAATCAATACTTACTTTGGCCATACGTTGGCGGAGGTAGCGCGGTGTAGCCTTGCGTCCACGCTTGCAGAAGTAGAAATGGACTGGTGTCTTGGGTTTCCCACAGCTACAGTTAAGCAACGCATCTTGATGAGCGAATCTCTCGTGGTATGCTGCAAAGTCTCCATGATGGGATCTTGCTGCGTATAGCCTTCCTAGTAAGTGCCGAGGGAGGCGGAGTTCGGGCGGCTTGGGATGAAGAATTATCTCGAGGTCGGCATATTGCCGAGGGCATTGGGACAGCCATTTTCTGGCAAAGGCTTGGAAGGCAGCTGCTTTAGCTTGCCTTTCTAGGTGCGCTAATGAGGGCTGTGGTTGTGATTTTGGGATTAGTTTGCAGTCTTCCTTGGCTAGAGCATCCGCTTCTTCATTTCCTGGTGTTGGGCAGCGATTATCAGGTAGGGGGTCAATGGGATGTATTGATGAGTATGAAGAACGAGTGGCTATGGGAATATCCCGACTATCTATATAGTGAGTGGAAGACCCTTTATACTGGCATATCCTTGGCAAACTTAGTCATGCTTGTGTAAGACCATATTGTTTCATAGGCATAGTGTGACAATCGTTGTAGCGAGTGTACTGGGATGGGCCTGACACACCCCCCTAGGTTCAAGTCTTTGCTTGAAGCTATTCACACTTCTTCCTGGCCCAGCAGGTGTGTGATGTTAACAAGACGAAGTTGACGAACGAATTCTCGGTGTTTTTGTGCGTTCAGTGGTTTGGTTAGACCATCAGCGATAGTGCTATTGGTATCCATCCACTTGAAAGTGATGTCTCCTTTCCGACAGACTTGGCGAGCCCACAAATTCTGTATATCGATATGTTTCAGCCTGGAGGTTCTGTGAGGCTTTTCATCTGTCAGAAGACGAAGAGTTTGACTGTTGTCGCAGTAAATAGTAGGGAAACCGTCTGGTTGAATCTGGAGATTCTCCATTAACCTTATGGTTGCCATATACTCTCTTGTGCATCTTTCTTGTCGCATCCATCGTTGCGCTATGGAGTGCGCTTGTGTTGGCGGATATGTAGGCGATATACTGCTTCTGATAGAGACCTCTCGATTCAGAGCCTGCTGCCTTTTTACTTGGTTTCCGTCGCCTCGGGGATTTCACAATGTTGGAAGAGTCAACCCCTTCACTTTTGTCGTATTTCTGGCGTCTTTTGATAACGTTGCTGAGGGGCTGTTGACCTACACCTTCCAAAGTGTTATTGTTGGAAGTATTGCTACCATCTCCACTCGTTGGAGTTGGTGAAGTCGCTGATTGGGTTGGTGATGAATCTTCTGGTCGAGGGGAGCCTTCCACCCACCCAGGTTCGATCTGATGGTCCCTATGTAAGGGTTGATTTTCTTCTTGTTGAGACACTGTCTCTTCTGTGTTGACATAGATGGTGTCATGGATTACTTCGTCTGAAGTAATGGCTGACGATGAAGATGGAAGTGGAGGGCTACTAGACATCACCCCCCCAGCCGAAGAGATATCGAGGCTGGTTTCTGTTCCTCTTACAGAACTGCCAGGCTGGCTGGATAGGCGGTTACCTAGCGTCACTTCTTCCCCAAGACAAGGTAGAGTTGGAAGACTATTATCTGGAGCGAAAATAGAACTTTGGCGGTCTGACGGATGAGTTGCATAGGTATCTGGGGCCGCGAAATCCTCTAGAATGGATTCGATATCGTGATCAATATCGTCATGGAGTTCCAACAGGTCTAGATGCCCTGTCTGCTCTCTTATCTGTACGGCATCAAGTTGCTGGACTTCTGAAGGATTGTAGACAACTGATTCGTCAAATGACACGTCTCTGGATCTGAAAACCTGATTCAGAGTAGGGATCCATATGCGATAGATGTTCGAGCTATCATATCCACAGAGATAGCCAAAATGAGCTCTAGGTGCCATCTTGGCTGACTTTTGGCGGCCAGCCATGTAGTTTTTGGTCAGAGGATAGGCTCTGCAACCATATCTCTTGAGATGGCTAAGCGATGATAGTTCTGGGCGCTTTGTACCCTTGTTGGCATTCAGCCACGCATTCGTCTTTCCTTCTGGTGTCATCCAGTTGATCTTCCTTCTTGGAGTTCGGTTGCCAAGATAGACGGCTGCCGCTGTTGTCTCTGGCCAGAGTTGTGGGGGAAAGTTTGACTGTATACAGAGAGCTCTTGCTGCTGCAAACATAACTCCCCCAGCTCTCTCGGCTTGGCCGTTTTGTGCTGATGTGTATGGTGCTGTTCTCTCCAGAATGATCCCTTCCTCGGAGGTTTAGTCCTCTATGTTGGTCTGTAGAGACACATCCCCATCAAGCCGTAAAAATCGTACAACAATATCGTATTGCACTGAGAGAAACTTGACTAGTTGCTTGATAAATCGAAGGCCAAGAAGTCGTCGATGTGGAAGTGCTCTCTGGAGCTTTAGCTTGGTGTATGGGCATGTGGCGATAATACTGACTTTCGCCCCATTGTACGCTTCCTCCATCAGAAA